GAAGAAGGAAAGCTTTCCTTGCAAGTCGAAAGTAAATGCAGGTCGACTGATAATCGTTTCTATGGAGTTCAGATATGACGAATTAAAGATACTGGTTTCATGAGCTCAGGCTTTTTGATCCCTTCATTGAACTTCTCATTCAAAACATGTGTTCGAACACAGCTTTCAACAACTCGACTTCTAAAATAATACCATAAAAGCAGAAGAGTGACCAAATCTACACGTGTCTGCACTACAGGAGGAATCGTCACCAGTTACTAACGGGAAATGCAGGGGTCCCAGCACACTTGTTACAGATCTTACTGGGGAGGTGTGGTGGTGTGTTTGGGGGGGCGGGGCACGAAAATGTCACCAAGGAGAAGGAAAGCCCAGGCATGATGAAAGACGCAGCCAAAACCAGAGCTGGGGAAGCTACCTTTTTGTTAATGAAATCTGCACGTGTCCCGTGCCATTTACGGGCACCACCTGAGCCCCTTTACCTAGCCCTTCTGTGGTCTCCACCTGCAGCCTAAGGCAAAGATGCCCAACTTACGGGGTGCAGGCCAGGTATTTCAGTCACTAAGTGTCAGTTCAGTGGGGCCGAGAGACATCAACGATAACAAAAGTGGATTTCTCACATTTATGACTGTGGCTTTGCACAGGTCCAGGTTCAAAAGTCTGGTTGGACTGTGTGTTAACACGAATCTGAATTTTTATCATACCAGAGTAGCCAGATCTCAGGGGGTAAAACTCCGACTTCTGGGATGGGCAGTTCCCTCTATTAATGGCCACTTTCTATGGCCGCCTGTGTACACACTGCCCAGTCAGGTTCCAATGTGGCAGTGTGCATCTGCGCTAAGCACTGCCACCCACCCACTCGTCGGAGTGACCATCCACAGTCTGACACAATTTAATTCGACCTGCATATTCACCAGCTGCCCAATTAAAGACGGATTCGTCCAGACCAAATGATTCATCTTGCACAAAGTGCATCACAGGACGAAGGGAAATTCTAGGTGTTTGAATTCGTTTCCCAAAGAATTTCTGTGAACCCAGTTCATTTTTTCTCAACAGGAAGTCATATGGACTTGGGAAATGATAAAATGTATGCAAAATGAGAGCCGAAGATGATAAGATAGAGGTCAAATACGCAAATAAACCCATGCACAGACACAGAAATAAATACATTTTGAGACATTTTCACAAAAAGTTGCCCCTTAGAGAAGAAATTATATTTCTTTATCTGAATTACCAGATTCAATTCACTTTGTAGAATAGTCAAAATACTGACATTCCCTCTCATTTTTATTATAAAATTGGACTTGTATGTCTCTAGAACAAGTACTGGACCCAGAAAAATAAAGATGCGGCAGAACATACCCCCAAAAAGCACACATTTAAAGGTAAGATTATTTTTTATTGCTAAATTATTAAAACTACTCAAAATAAGTTATGGAATATGAATGCAAAACGGTCAGAGTTATTTTTATATTTGGCATAATAGCTAAGAAGCTTCAAAAGAAAAGCAATATTTTAACAGAACAAAACAAACGAGACAGCATAGTCACTCGGCTTCTGTCAAGCCTTCTCCCTCATATTCTGTAAGGAGTGGATATACAAGCTGCCTTTTTTAAAAGTCAGCCTACTGTGGAAGCTCATGGCTTTTGGAAATGGATGGCTGACCTTGGTTAAAGCCTAGAGGAGATGTAGACTTTTGATTCAAAATGCAACTGGATAGCCAGAGGGCCATCCGGCCACAGACAGAACTGCAGCCGAGCAAGGGTTGCGCACACTAGGGTTGGGAAAGAAGTCCACTTGGCTGGGAGCTGAGGCTGGAGTCAGAGCAAACAAGATTGCGGCAAATGTCAGGGTACAGATAACCATCGAATACACGAGAATTCAAAATACGTTGTTTACGTGGCCTCTCTTCCCCAAGCGAAGGAGAAGTTCCACGTGGGCAGGGACTTTAATTCGGTCACTGCCGTACCCCCCCACTTCTGGAACAGTGCCCGGCTCCTGGAAGCTTCTCCATCAATATCTGATGAGGGAAGGAGCATAAACTACGTTTCAGAAGACAGATTGGTCAGAGGAAATAAAATTCCACAGCTATGAAACGCGCGCCCACGCGGTGCTGTGCCAAGTGTCCGTGCGTAACGTGAAGTAACTGTTCCACAGGACGGCAAGGCCGTGAGAATTAAACGTTAGGATGTCAGACCCCAGGGCCCCATTTGGAATTTGCTGAATCAAAATCCTGGGCCAGGAACCCTGAACTACCTTTCTAAGCAACTACCCAGGTAAGTCTCCTGTTTGCCGAAGCTTGAGTTCTACTAAAGGAGGGTTTTGTAGACATGTAAAAAGAAGTTTTATTATATCTATTTTTAAGGAAAGTAACTTGTCCAACACTGCACAGCAAGAACCTCGGGGGATTCCAAGCCAGGCTGAAGTCCTGAGGCCACTTGTCACAGAAAAGGGACATTCAGTATCACCTGTCTTCAGGAATTGTATATAGAGTCTGTTTCTGATTGGTAGAATCTGTCAAGAGGAATTTCTGGGAATCAAGATTTGAAGTGTTAATTATACATGCTTAGACCTAGACCTGGAGTGTCTAAGTCACCTATCACTTTGACAATCCTGCTAGGAAAGGCCAAGCGCTGGGTGAAGTAGTTTGTCTGGGGCAGAAGTAGAAAACTCGGGTGCACAGGGGTGGGGAGGGGAGGGCGACAGGGGAGGTGCAGACCGTCTAACCCCACAAGGCTGCTCGGCTCCAGCCTGCCGGCTTGCTGGGTTGTTTCAAAGAGAAGCCAAAAGTCCAGCTTCTGTGAAACACCCTGATTTCTAAATACAGATAACTATCAGAAGTTTCAAACACACCTTGAAGGCCCACGGAACAGGTCTGGAAAATACCCAGAGGTATTTGCTGGGGCCCGCTGCCTGCTTCTCAGGTCTGGAGTGTGCAACCCTGGGAGTTAAGCTACACCAACCAGAACCGCACCAACCAGAGCTGTGGGACAGGCCAACTGTTACACGTGATGAAACCCGCATCTCGTCGTGGTCTGATTGATTTCACAGAGGTCTATCAGATGTGGCCCGAATCAGGCCAAATCTTTGTAAATTGAATTGGGCCTTTCTATTAACTTGCCATTGTAGGGTTGCTTCATTCTGCTTTTGGAGTGATCTTCGGTTGGCATTGGGCAATTTTAAATTTATGATTCCCTGGCCTTTCGGCTTTTCTGAAAGGCAAAGGGGGTAAAGGCTCAGGGGGAAGCAGTTCAGCTTCGTGATAGCGCGTTGGGGAAACTTCCTAACTGGGACTTCCCTGTCCTGAAGCGCTAGAGATGCTGTTTCAGAGAAATTCTGTCTCACACAAAAAGACCCCATTATGTGTGATTTACATGATGCAATGGTCTGCAACAGCTAAGTTTAGGACAACTAATGGTTTTTTTTGTGTCCCTGCATTAGAGTGATTTTGTAACGTTAATTCACGTAGAATGACTGAAGTAGCCAGCGAGTTTGTTGTTTTTCACACTTCCAGTCTGAGGAATACGCCATTCTTTCTTTCGGTGCTGGCACTGCTTTAGGGAACATTTCCATATCTACTTGATGGCAGGGGTAACAAGATCCCTCCCTCTCCCTCTGTACCTTCTTTTTTTTTTTTTTGCAACGTGTACGTAAGAATTTCATGTTATCAAGGGAGGCGTCTTAACCGACCAAAGCAGAAATCATCATGAAACCGAGTCCCCACCATGTCACAACGTCACCGGCTTGACGGCGAGGACGCGACGAGGACGCAGCGCGGACGCACACGCAGCAGTGCGGCCGGAGGGCGGCGGCGGGGAAAGGAGGGCCCGGGGGAGTCCCCACCGCGGGTCCCCGCCGCGGGCCTGCGCGACGGCCACGCTCTCGCGCTCATCGCCACGGCCCTATGTTTTTACTGTAGTTTTCCCCCCGTAAGACGAAGGCGCATCAAGGGAGTCGGGTGGACTTTGTGAGACGCCTCCCCGCTCCGGAAGTGTGACGGGGCCGAGGTCCCTGAGCCACGGCCACCAGGGAGAGGCGCCGGACCCGCCCCCGCGCCGTCGCCGCCGGGGGCCGGGCGGTGGGCGGGGCCGAGGCCTGGAGGGGGCGGAGCCGAG